ATGTGCTGCTAGGTTTTTTGTTTTGTTTTTTTCTGAAGAGAGGAGTGGTACCATATGTTGCAGGAAGTGAAACTGGATTTTTTTTTTTTGGGGCTACTAAATTTGCCTTTAATCTTATTGTTCTCAATTTTGGAATCAAAGTATGAAAATCTGCACAAATGTAATGTTTACAAGAACTGGTTGATTCTAGGTGGCATCTGCTACAGTCTCTTTTTATATGGATATGTACATGTCCTACTGTACAAAAATGATTAAAGATAAAAATGTACTTGTATCCCACTGCTAATTTAGCTGTCAAATCTGGTGTTTCATCATATTAAAAGCAATAAATCAGTAGTTGCTAATCTACTTTTCTAAATAAGCTGGATGGTACAAATTTTAAAAAGTCTTTCCTCTTAATACATTTGTATTTTCGGCACCATCAGTTAAATCCTTGACTATAATAACAAATTTGATATAAAGACATTACATTTACCCCAAAGCATTCTCAAAAAACTATATTCCTTAGATGTTTATTTTACCCTGTTGACTTTTTAATATTAAGGGTTATAGTGATATCAAAAGTGATGAGCTAATGAAGGTTTTCTTTTTAAATAAGATTAACTTCAAGCTTACTTTTCTTTACTTGACATAGTCTGGGATCTCTCAGGGAGTAAGTTTTGAAAGAATAGTAATGGCCTATAAGAACAAATAGGAAGAATAATCTGATTTTTAAAATCATGGTTATTGTTTGTTTCATTTTGATGTAGCCTTTTTAAAAAGGACTTTTTTAAAAGACAAGAGGAATCTTGTGGAGCTAACTGCCTTGAACTGCCACAACTTTTTACTAAGAATTTGAGACCGAGGATAGTGGTTCACACCTGTAATCCCAGCACTTGGGAGGCCAAGGTGGGAGGATCACTTGAGGCCAGGAGTTCAAGACCAGCCTGAGTGAGACCTTGTCTCTACAAAAAATAAAAAATAAAAAAAATTAGCCAGGCCAAAAAAAGCCCCCAAAACTATGATGTCTGCATCTTTGTAAGAAGAAAAAAATTTGATGACCCTTTACAGGTATTGATAGCATTTACTAGTTTGTCATTCCTCTCTTCAGCGTGGTTACCATAGAATGCTTCTGAGCTTTACTACTTCCTATATAATTCACTTCAAATATGTGAGAATATTTGATGATTCATTTTATTTAGGTAACTGCTAATTATGCTATCCTTATTCAAGGATTAATCTTCTGATTTATGGAAACATGAGCTTTCATTGTATTTGAGTATAGTCTTTGGCTCGGTACCCATTGAGACCAGTAGCAAACATTTGGAAAATGATTAATTGGGATTGGGAATACATGTCTCAAATTAAGAAACCAAATAGTGCTAAGGGACCCTTATGGTGATCAGACCTGTGACCTTGGCCTCTTTTGTACCTTTTTTTAACTGAGGTAATCAGGCACTTACTACCCGTAGAAATGGACTGGAATTATTGAAGCATACTTCTGTAACATCACAATCTTCCTGGTTTTCAGAATAAAAGTCTTTTTGTGCTTTTGATATAAATATATACTCTATAATAAAATGTTTGACTAATTTATATGGTAATTCATCAGCCTGTAATTTTTTTTTTTAAACCAATCACCTAGTCATGTAAGTTTTTTCTTTTTCTTTCTGTTCTGGAGCAAACTCTGTTTTTCCCTTCCTACCAAATCAAGAGAGTGGAACAAAATCCCTGGTTTCACAAAAATGTTACTTGAACCATCATTTTCCATTCCTTCCCATGACTTGCCTGTAAGCATCTAAATTGCTTTGTATTTCATTTTGCCTTAAGTTTGAGGTATCAATGACTGAAGACTGGTGGGAGAGAAACAACAAACTGAGTAAACTATGCCTGAAGGATTTTTTTTGGTTTTTGTTTTCTAAAGTAGTAATTACCGAAGAGCTGTTCTTTGAAATTTGACTATATATATTTTTTTACTTTCAAAGGGAAGTGTTCTGTGTTTTGTGTGTAAAAGTGTGATTGGATTTGTTTTGGGAACGACTGGCTGATGCCATAATTTTCACTTAAAGACTATAACTTTTACGGCGGTACTTTGATAGTAGAGACAGTAAATTGACATCTTTTTTATTTTCCTTTATTTTGCTTTAGTACTAAGAACTAACTCCTACCAAATGATATGTCCTCTTTTCTGTTTCTTAAGAAATAATAAGGAAGACTATACTAAGCAAAGGGATAATTCATATTTCAGGTTGGACAATTTTCCCTAAACAAAATAAACCACAGTTGGTCCAAACAGATGAATGAAACATCTTTGACATCAGAGTATCCATCACAGGTTCTTGTTTCATTTGGTAAGATTAATATTCTAATAAAAGATTTTTTAAAAGTCAAATAGCTATCCATTTATTCTGTTAACTGAATGTCATTTTATCAATGGTAATGGAGATATTAATACTGATTTAAAATTATTACTCTAAGATAGATGGGTAACAGTCTTTTCCAATTATACCATTACTGGGCCCTTTCAAATTTTGCCTCATGAGTTCACAATCTCCTGCAACTTCTCTTTAGGAAAATCAGGCCCTCTTCTTCCAGACTAGCATGCATATTAACCTTTTAAAAATGAATCAACATATTGCCCAAAGAAGATGGATCTATTTTAGTAAGTGGATTTTCTTACAGGATGAAAAAATTGATTGTAGGTTTAGGCAAGGTGATACTAAAGTTAACCTTGGAGTACTTTCAGAGAAGCATAAAAATGTCAATTTACTGTTCTCAAAGTCAGTCATGTATTTTAGTTCTTAGATTGACATGGGACGGAAATGGTACTTATCTGGGTTGAGGCTTTCCATTTCAATTTTGCCACTGTATCATGTATACTTTAATAAGACCTTTAAATCCTATACATCCATTTCCCATTTGTAATGGACACATATGTACTATTTCATAGGTCATCTGAGAAGCTGATTCATCTAAGAAATATTTTCTTGCTTACTATGTAAGCTAATGGGGTGGGGGACACAAAGATGAATATATTAATGTGTTGATTATGGATTGCTTACCATCTAATAATGATGTTGAAACCATTTTCATAAGCCTTGAAGAATTAGACTTGAAGTTTGGTCTTTTCTAAATTTAGAAAATGATTTTTTAAATTCCCACATCTTTCCCTTGGTGTCTTTAAACAGCATGATTCTTCATGCTGTTTACACTTCAGATGCTTTGGAAAAGCATGACAATGCTGGACTGACTTACACTTTGCCATGACAAACACTTTTGGCATGATAGTAAATTTAACTTTACTCAGTGCTATATGTAGAAAAACTCAGGCCGGGTGCGGTGGTTCACGCCTGTAATCCTAGCACTCTGGGAGGCCGAGGCGGGAGGATTGCTTGAGCTCAGGAGTTCGAGATCAGCCTGAGCAAGAGCGAGACCCCGTCTCTACTATAAATAGAAAGAAATTAGCCAAACAACTAAAAATAGAAAAAAATTAGCCAGGCACGGTGGCCTGTGCCTGTAGTCCCAGCTACTCAGGAAGCTGAGGCAGGAGGACCACTTGAGCCCAGGAGTTTGAGGTTGCTGTGAGCTAGGCTGACCCCATGGCACTCTAGCCCAGGCAAAGAGAGTGAGACTCTGTCTCAAAAAAGAAAAACTGATGATCATTAATGAACTAAAAAAAGTACAGAGGAGGTTAAAGACCCTACAAAGCACATTGGCTTTCACTAGAACCTTAAGCACAGCTAGATTATTTTAATTGTGTTTTTAAAAAAATTTTTTTTAAAACCGTTACTTTCAAGATGAAAATTTTTAATTGCTAAGACAGGAAAGCTATTTCTACAGTTTATCAGTGTCTGAGGATATTTTCTTTTGTCAGTGAGAAGACACAACTTACAAGCTTTTTTTTCTTTTAAAGACAGGGTCTTGCTCTGTCTCCTCAGGTTGGGTGCAGTGTTGTGGTCATTGCTCACTGCGGCCTCAAACTCCTGGGCTCAAGCAAAGTGATCCTCCTTGCCTCAGCCTCCCAAGCAGCTGGGACTACAGGCGTGTGCCACCATGCCAGGCTATTTTTATTTTCTGTAGAAATGGGGTCTCGCTCTGTTGCCCAGGCTGGTCTCCAACTCCTGAGCTCAGGCAATTCTCCCACCTCGGCCTCCCAAAGTGTTGGGATTACAGGTGTGCAACACCATGCCTGGCTGTGTAAACATGTTTTAAAATACAAATTTATTCTTGCTTTTGGTTGCAAGTGTTACAGCAGTTTAATAAAATTTGAGGTCTATAATTACAATGATATTGTTAGTATAGGGCAGCTTTGTCACAACTATGAGGGTCCAAAATGTTTTGCTGGAATGCCATTATATAGCTGGGGGAAAAGTAGCCACAGGCTGGGGTTTAGAACTTTAACTTATTTCAAATGGAATTAAGAGCAGAAATAAAATTTCTGGATGGTTGGTGCTAACAATCGCAAATTTGCATTTCCCACAGCACACGCTGCTTACAAAAGGTATACCAAAATAACCGTTACTCCAGGAAATAGGGTAATGGGTTGAGGTACAGTTCCCATTAGCTTTTAACTAAAGCATAGTGGCTTTTCCTAGCCATGACATTCAGCTGCAGACATATTTCCATGTGGCACATAAATCATAATGTTGGTCATTACAGCATTATGTTTTTTTTTAAGCAGGATGCACTCCTCAGCAATGATATTCTTAAACAGCACTGTCTGTGACATCAACTCATTCAGCAGAAAACAAGTCATTTTATGTTTTAATAAAAAAGTCATATTACAGGCATTTCCCAAAGTAATAAATGTATTTGCGAAACTTTGGTTTAAGTGTTTAGGGAATGGTCACAGGGAAGAAGAGTCTTAATTTTCATAGCCTTGTTCTTCTACCCTTCTCTTTGGTTTCCAGATCTGCTAAGGCCTAGTATGGCTATAATACTATAGCAGTAGATGAAGTATTGTGTAAAATGAAACCAGGCTATGTATATTTTAAGACAATTTATTAGAACAGAATCCCTCATTCAGAAGCCAGTGAGACATCAGGACAGCAGAAAGGAAGGTGGGATGGAGTAGGCCCTGTGAGGCACCAAAGAGAAAGTAATAGCCTCAGTTAAGAAATTTCATTTTATTCTAATAAAGACTAATGCATGCCTGATAATCTAGTGATAATTCATAAGTTTAGTGGTTCACAATATTTTTAGAAAATACATAATATTAACATTCAAATAAGGCATTATATAAAGTTTTATAAAGAATGAAATGTTTACTGTAATCCTTTTAAAAAGCCTTGGTCCATTTTGAAAGATCAACAGTAAATTTTTGAAAAATCAAAGGAAAAGGAAAATAAGTTTTTTCCCCCCAGGATACATAAGAACTATTTGCTGGCATTTGTATGTGCCTGGAATAAAATGGGCCAAATTTTCAAAGGCAGTTAATAACAGCATGTGCAGGGCTTGTTTCATTTGATTTAGCACCAAGTAAGAGTAAATATCTTATGGAAGACATAGGTTTTTCTTCCATCTCCCATATTGCCCCACTTCTCCTCCAGGTCACAGTACATAAGCAGGCATCCTTATTGCCCCACTAAGGAATCGAAAATGATGTATATTTATAATGGCTGCTCACATGACACTTGCCAGCAGAGTTCTTTCTCCCTAACACAGGGTGACAGTAAAAGCTAGCAGATACCAATTCTTTGGGAATAAAGAACTCTTTCAGGAAACTCAGTTACTCTCCTGGTCTTTGTTACCCTATCATATACATTCTTTTTATTGCTACACCTGTTTACTAATTATGATTGCTATTTATGCCAAGGGAATATTCCCCAGGCATGCCTGATCTCTTTCTATTTCCTAAAGACAAAGTATGCTCATTTTACATAGTGCCAGTCTTTTCTTTTCTTCTTCCTTTCCCTCCTTCCTTCCTTTTTTTCACTGTATCTTAGATTTATCAAGGCAGAACATGTTTGGATCAAAGAGAAAAACTGGCAAGGAGATCCTGAAACACGCATTTCTTAACCTGAGTTACACCTAAAAACAAGACTTTAATTACATTTTCTGTTGAAAGTTCATTCAACTTTGGTGCTCATCCAAGAATTTGTAATGTCAATTTCTGCCATAAATCATATCCCTCAATACATACATATTTTGAAAAGAAAACAAGTCATCTTAAAGTAATATTTTCCTGTATGGTAATGTATACATTTTTATAGCAAATTGAAATTCTGAGTAAACTGAAGATATGTTTAACAACAAAATACAGCATGCCTACCTTACACACTTCTTATTTGTATCTTGCAACAGATCTGTAAATTCAGTTGCTTTTTTTCTGGAATTTTATAGATATGGTATCTCATAAAACCATGTTCCACCATGTTAGAAATGTCATTTTTGGCATCAATCTATGCAAAAACCTTTGAAGAGATATTTTCCCCAAATGACAGGTAATTTTTTAAACTTTTCCAGAAAAATATGGAAATTTTGTCAACCGTTTATTCTTACTGAACAAAAGGTTACATTACTACCAATTGCTCTTTTAATTTTGCTCTAACAGATGTTATAAAACTTTAGACATTTTGGTATTTTTGAAGTGCACATCCATAGAAGATAACTAGATAAAACATACTAGGTGATTTCAAAAAAATTAATCCTAGTACCTGACTCATTTGGCACATCCTTAGTATCCAGTATAAAATCAGTAGAAATAAAAGTAACATAATTTTAAAAGAATATTCATACAAGCTGGAGTCTTAAGAAAAGAAGCTTCTAAATGCAAGGACAAGGAGGTTTTGCTCATCTTACTAGTTACACGCATTTCTCCTCACGGAGGAACTGAGGCTTTCTGGTTTGTTTCTGGAACTTTAGTTTGCAGGAAAGCATGTACGTGGGGCCAAATCTTGTTGGTTTCTGTTCCGGAGAATGTTTCCAACACCCCTTTTTTCCTAAAGATGAAAAACAAACAAAACACACGTCTGAGTCTTCCTAGTGAGCTTTTTAAAGCTTTTTTATAAATGATAATAATGTAGATTTAGGACTCTTGGAAAGTATAGATCTGTGTGATCAAGAGAGAAAGGCACTTACTTGGCTAGGCATTGGAAAACCTAGATTTTAGTTTCAGTTGTGCCCTCTGACTTACAGAATTGGGCTTTTAAAAAAATAATAGCACCTATCCTTTATTGAGCATGTACTGTGTGCTAAACCCTGTGCTAAAGGCTTTACATATACTAGTTCATTTAATCCTTTCCAAAGCTCAAAGTTTCTTATCTTACTAATAAAATTGTCTCTTGTAAAGTAACTTAGCCTCAAATCACCACGTTGGTATTTGGTTTCCAGACAGAGCCTGTCAGATACCAGAAAACCCCTTGGCTTTGCCTCCTTATTCCTTTGCAAAAACAGCTTTCTAAGACTTGGTTATCTTTCCTTTTTGCCTGGGTTTGTTTTTTCCTTTATTCTACCCTTCTGAATTTTAACAGAAAGGGGAATAAAAAGTGTTGCTTTTATTGTTTTTCCTATCGAGTTTTTCCATTTCTTCCCAGGCAGATTTGTCTGGCTTGTCACCAGACCAGCAGCCAAAGTCTATTTTATTTACTCCAGTTTCCCCGTGGGTAGTATGGTTGAGGAATGAGGATCAGAATCCTGGGGTTTATTTCCAAACCATACATTCCCTCGAGAGATTCTGGCATTCCTCTTGCTAACACCCCTCCTCTAACCCATGCACACACCTACACATATACACACTGGTTTAAAGGCTATATAAGAGCAACTGAAGAACTCTAGTTTATTACTTTCTGAAAACAGGATCAGTCACACTTCTGTAACCCTTCTTACTAGGTTTCAGAGGTTGCACTAGGGACAAAAGCATTCCTTTCTTGATACCTCATGCAATTTGCTTCGGTTAAATCACACCTACTGTTCTCTTGGTAGCAAACATCCGCTAAGGAGGGAAATTATGCAAATATAGTATTCTCTGGATATTAGAAGCCCTCCTTCTAAATTCACAGCTTTCAAGAGAACAAGCTTCTTGACTGTTGTAAGCCTCTTGAAGAGCCACTTTAAGTCAAGCCAGTGTAACAAGCGGGCTAATTACTGAGGCACCTATTCCATCCAAAAACTGTACATTTAGGATGAACATTTGTCATTTTAATTTCTGTATAATAAAATGGGACCAGCTTCAACAAGTGGTCCTCCACAAAGAGCATCATGTTGTTTGTAAACATAGACTTTTAAATGTCCCATGGCTGAGGAGAGTTTTAAAAAAACAAGTACAATTGTTGGCATTTTTAAATAACAATGCTGACTACTACTAAGGTTCTTGCAAATACCACTTTTAATTTTTAGTTAAGTCCAGCCTTAGTTCTATGTGTGGGAACTTAAAAGGAAAAGCTTGAATTAGCAAAAGGCAGAAGAAGGCTAAAAAGACTTCTCCTAAGACATCTAAGATATCTCCTAAGATAGGAACCCAAGTCATTTGCTTCATCTCTATGGACTTCTCTCTAACTTCCCTTCCCACATTGTGGCAGAACTAATTCCTACAGCCCTGGTACTTCCATTGCATTCAGGGATTGCCTCTTGCAGTGGCGTTATCTGCCCAGCAACAACGCATCCTCCCTTCTTCGGGTTACTTTTGGGAAACAATCTCTGTCAAACTCAGTCCATGAGGTTCAGGTGAGATTGCCCCATTCCCTATCTTCAAGGACAGACACGATCAGAGCTAATTGCCAACCCCAGGACTTTTGCTGGCAAAAGAGGCTCCTTTATGCCAGCATGACTGAACTGGTAGGAGGTAAGCTGGAGTGCTTAGCTGCCACACAGGAAGAGCCTCCTGGCCCTGAGACTGAAGCCAACACTGGACAATGGAGCTGAGTGACTGCGTCTTGGTGACACACTTTGAACACCTGGACCTAGTCATCTACCTGTGGACTTTTTAGTTGCCAATAAATTCCCCTTTTGTGTAAGCTAGTGTGAATTAGGTTCCTGATTAATATAAGCATGTATCACACTGTATGATAAATACTGCTTACCCAGCTCTCTGCCCAACCCACATATAGAAGGTGAGTTTCTTGGAGCCTGACAAGGACTGGGTCTAATTGTGTGAACCAACGGACTAGCACAGTGTCAGCAGAGTAAATAAGAATCACTGACAGTGATGTAATAGATGCCAGGGCTACTTTAAGTCTTTCTACAGATTCTCTCATACTATTAATTCCCTTAACAACACTATAAAGTCGGTATTATTTAATATCACCTGATTTTACAAATAAGGAATTTGTGGCATGGAGGTTAAATACCTTGCCCAAGGCCACAGATCTGGTAATCTGTAGAGCCAGGCTCATTATACAAATCATGAAATTATAGTAACGGCTACTATAAAAAGTGAATTGCCAACTCCCTTGTAATTTCACCATCCTGAAATAACTATTAAAACAGTTTGGAGACTATTGCTTCAAATTTTTATTGCATACTTACTCCATTACAACAATAATAGCTAACATTTATGTAGTGCTTAGTATGTGTCAGGCACAATTCTAAGAGTTATATATATTAACTCAGTCATTCAACCCTCTATTCTCACCCCCAATTTATAGAGGAGCAAACAGGTAAAGGTTAAGCAAGAGGTAAAGACAAAGTTAATTAAATGGCAAGCTGGGACTTGAACTTTGGCATTCTGGTTCCAGAGTCTGTGCTCTACCCACAACCTGTACTGCCTTGACACTGAATCATTACTCAGTAAGCAAATCAATGGAAGACGAGGCGATCAACCTTCTTTGTAAGGAGAGGGAAAGGCTGAGTAAGAAAACTAGATTGTTTCTTAGCCTGAGTCAAATATTAACTCATTATAGTTCCCATATTTCCTGTGTGCTATGAATTCCCTGAAGAGCAGACAAAATAATGTTAGCATGTAAGCTTTTAAAGCCTACTAGCCAAATAAATGACCTGAGGGACTAGTTGCCATTTGAGATTCTTCTGTGCTATATACATCCCTCTGTTGGCAGATGTTGTGGGCATTATTAGGTTTGCCTCCCCAGCATTCGTTCCAGCCCTCCCTGCACTACGGAAGATCCCCAATTTATGATGATTGAATTTATGATTTTTTGACTTTATGATGGTCCGAAAGCAGTATGCATTCAGTAGAAACTGTATTTTGAGTACCCGTACAAGCAAGCATTCTGCTTTTCACTTACAGTAACAGCTACTATAAATTAGCTGTTACTGTAATTATAGTATTCGATAAATCACATGAAATATTCAGCACTTTATCATAAAATAGTCTTCGTGTTAGACAATTCTGCCCAAATGTAAGCTAATATGAGTGTTCTGAGCACGTTTAAGGTAGACTATGCTAAGCTATGTGTTTGGCATTTTCAAATTGTAATGGGTTTATCAGGATGTAATTCCATTGTAAATTGGGGAGCGTCTGTACGTAGCATAGTGTGAGTGAGATTGATCCACCCCCAGTTCTGGGTGTGGACTAATCAGTGGAATCAGTGGAATCCTTCCCACCCTAGCGACTGGTTCAGGAATGGGCAGTGACCCACGCCTAACACAGTTACTGCCAGGCATTCCCTGACTACAGTGGCTGTTAAAGCCGACTCAATCTGAGTGACGCTCGGGGGCTTGTTTTCACCGGGGGAAAGGTTACCCCTCAGCCCTTGATGAAAAAGGGCTTGACTGTTTCTGCAGATGTCTGTGACCATTCAGGAAGCCTGAGGACAAAGCCAAGAGAATGGCAAAACTGTGATCAAACCTAGGAGTGACAGAAGCCCAGCCTACCTTCTGGACTTCTGTTACATAAGCTAATAAATTTCCTTAAGCCAATTTGAATTGGGTCTTCTGGTATGTTAGCGTTTCAGCTGTAAAGTATGGAAAATCAAAAGCTGACTTAGTGCTTCATCATGCAAGAGAAGTTCTGAAAAGCAAAAACTCACTGGTAATATTCCAGGACTGGCTTCGTCTGGGCTTCATAAGCCTTCAGTCTCTTGATAACCGTCTCTGGTCGGTCATCCTCACGCTGAATGAGAGGCTCCCCAGTCACATCGTCAATGCCCTAAACAGGAGTTAGAAGAGACTAGCATCAAGTATCCTATTTTTGAAGGATATTTTCATAAGCAGTTCTATTTTTTTAAACATACATCTTCTCTGTGAAAGCAATAAGCACAACAATGTGCTAACTTTGAAATAAATGGAATCCAATCTAAAGACAGATCATTGCAACACAGAGCCAGGAGACCCCAGGATTATTTCCACAGTTATCGGTCACCTTCTCCTTAAATTAAAAGGCTTTCTAAGCCGCCTCTAAATAATTTCATATATATACAAAAAGATTCAGCTACATACTGCGAATCTCAACTGCAAGTCCTAAATAAAACAAGATGTTATATATCTCTGTCACCCCAGCTCCTAACACACTCCCTGGCACAAAAGTAGGAAATCACTGAATGGTTTTGAATGAATAACAATCCCCTGTTGCTCCTGGGGCACCTACACCAGCAAGCTGAGTGGACTATACCCACCCAGTCGACTATACTAAGTAACCTGAGGATACACCGCAAGGAGTTCTGGTCAGGCAGAGGATTTCCAAATTCACAAAACTTACATTTGTGAGGGCAAGAGGACTCGAGGACAGTAGTCTGCTATATGTCAGTTCCACAACAACTACTCACCACAGTTTTGGGAGGGTTGAATTCAATGTTGTAGACTCGGCCACTGGCTGGATGAATCCAGCGAGCAGTGAGACGTTGTTTAATGACCTCGAAGGGCACATTCAGGTTAATCACTGTGTCTATCTGATAAGCTTTATCTAGGGCTTCCGCCTGTGGAAGTGTCCTTGGAAAACCTTTATAAAGTAAACCAAAAAATAAAAATAATAATAAAAAAAAAAGGAAGCAAGGAGTGGGGAGGGAAGGAAGAGGGAGAAAGAAGAATTAATGTGCAACCTGAACAAAAGGAATAACAGCAGGCAGGCTGATCACAGCTATAGTGCAACAGTGGTTATGTGTCAATTTGACTAGGCCACAAGGTGCCCAGATATTTGCTCAAGCATTATTCTGGGTGTGTCTGTCAGGTGTTTTTGTATGAGATTAACATTTAAAAAGGTAGGCTGAGTAAATAAAGCATATTGCCCTCCCTAATGTGGGTGGGCCTCATCCAGTTAGTTTTAAGGTCCAAGTAAGGGGGAGTTTCTCCTGACTACCTTCTAACTGGGACATTGGCTTTTTCCCGACTTTGGACTCAAACTGAACTCATCAACTTCACTCAAATTCAAGAGGCTATTTTTGGAATATGACAAAATGATATTAAAGTTCAGCTAAAAGAAAATCATTAATGCAAAGGAACAAACTCTAACAGATAAACAAATGTATAATATAGCTAAACAGTGTGGTTCAAAAATAAAGAGGCAAATGTAACTGATCAGTGAATCCAGAAATAGACCCACATATATTAGGGAATTTAAAATCAAAATATTTTGATCCCAAATTTTTGACTTTGCAATATTGTTATTAAGGACATTTTGTCCAGAACACCAGGAAAAACTGGTAGAAATAATACATTTTTCAAAAGTGACAAAGTAAGGCTGGGCTCAGGGGCTCATGCCGGTAATCCTAGAACTCTGGGAGGCTGAGATGGGAGGATTGCTTGAGGTCAGGAGTTCAAGACCAGCCTGAGCAAGAGTGAGACCCTGTCTCTACGAAAAGTAGAAAAACTACCTGGGCGTGGTGGCATGCACCTGTAGTCCCAACTACTCGGGAGGCTGAGGCAGAAGGATCGCTTGCGCCCAGGAATTTGAGGTTGCAGTGAGCTATGATGAGGCCACTGCACTCTAGTTGTGGTGACAGAGCAAGATTCTGTCTCCAAAAAGAAAAAAAAAAGTGACAAAGTAAAACTACACATGCTATAATTTGTTAGAGCTAAAAATACTGTCTGAAAAATTACATTTTCTTGTTAACAATGAAAGGTGGAAAAATTTGCCAGTGACCTAGACCTTATAATGTATGAAAATAGCAATGATAATAGCTAAAATTATACCCAGGAAACCTGGATTTGGGGAAAATCGGCCCCCAAAGAAAGCTTAATGATGGGAAAAGCTCAATCTATAAAATTTTATATAGCCCCCAAGTAGAATAAAAAATCAAATATTTATTGTAAAATTTACAATGCAGTAAGTGATCCTGGTGAAAATAATTTTAGTACATTTAATGAGAACAAATGGACTATGATAGCTACATCTCTTGAACACTTTATAGATGCCAGACACTGTATGCAAAATATTTTATAAGGATCACTTCTTTTGGCCATCATAACCCTAAGAGAGGTACTACTATTATTCCCATTCTCCTTACTGAGGCACAGTAAGGTTAGGTAACTTACTATTAATAGCTCTCAAAGATATTAATTAAGTGTGGTAGAAGTGGGATTTGAACACAAGCTGTCTAACCCAACAACTATGCTTATAACCATGGGGTTTGTACTAAAAAAAAGTCTAAGTAAAAATACCTCTGTATTGGTATAATTCTGATTAAAATGTTTACACTCATGAACCTAGAAATTCTCATAAATGTAGAATCAAACAGCCACTGAAACACAAGTTAATACCCTCTACTAAGAGAAGTAGGAGTACAGTCATCCCTCGGTATCTGTGGGGGATTAGATCCAGGAGGCCAAAATCCTTTTTAATTTTTAAAAGGGAAAGGTATTTTTCCAATAGAACAACGCAACAAACGCAAAAACAATAAAAGCTCCACATTCCAAGCCCTTCCCATCTGGGTCTGTGGTCTATTCCCCCTCTGCTTCCTGTGGATCTCCATGGCTGGTCTCACGGGTGGCTAGCCATTTTCTTGTGCCGGTAGCATCTCCACTCTGTCTTTGGTAACTCCGTGCCTGCGGCCTAAAATGACTTGTTTCTCCTCCCACATAATTCCACTCATTCTTCAAGACCTCCCACAAATGGAAAGTTTCTCAACCCCTTCCATCGCATATAGAAGCAAGACTGAAACTTTTTAAAATAAAGTTTTGAATTCTGAACCATGCAACTACTATATTTTCTACAAAAAAGAAAAGAGGGAGAGAAGTAAAGAAAACACCTCTCCCTCTACCACGTTAGTCTCTATTCACATCAATCTTTAACTTATCTCACAGCACTCATTAGTATCTGTACTTATTCAAGTTTTTGTCTGTTTACTACTTGTCTCCTACTGGAATGTACTTTCCCCAAGGGGAAAGCACGAGACAGGGCTGCAGGGCTTGGTGAGGGCAGCATGGCGTGTGGGCACGTGGAGGGAACGGGGTTGAGTAGGGGAAGATGTGTAATTAGCAAGGCTAGATTAGTGTACCATCTTCCCCAAAAGGATACTGTGGCTCAGATTTCCTTCAAGGAAAGGCTTATAAATTTTATGAAACAAATCTCTTTTGGGTCCTTTCTATATTAAAACTAAAAATCACTCTATCCTCAAGGATTCTGCCACACCTCAGGCTAGGGAAAGTTTACAGCTTACTGTAAGTTACTCTGAGCTTCCTTCTTTTGAGGTGATCCTCCCTCATCATAGAATATTCTCAAAGGAGGGGGGAAGAAACTAAAATTACATCTGAAGGGAGCAGAGAAGTCATGCAATCCACTTCCATCTTTCTATTCGAATAAAGAACCAGTGCCAGAGATGACTAGCTCAAGGCCTCAGGGTAGTGAGGGGCAGAACTCAGGCCCTCCCGACTGGACCGCCATCCTTGATGTCTGTGGAAAGCCCAGGAAATGCTCACTGTCCTGGCAGCACTCATAATTGTAGGCAGCTGAAATGACACGACACTCCACTTACCATCCAACAGCCAGCTATATTGGGTGAGATTTTTCAGCTCATGAAGGGCCAGCCGAGTCATGACATCGTCTGGGATGAGTTTCCCTTGGTCAATGAAAGCCTTGGCTAACACACCAATTTCTGCAGCAGAGGGGGAAGAAATCAATAAGTGCATTTGTTTTATCCCATTCCAGGTCCCTAGGAACTGTCTGCCTAAAGGGGACTTCTGGATGACACACCCATATGAAAGTGGTAAAAACAGAGGTTACAAAACAATCTAAACCTACTTCAAATTCTCCATTATGGAAAAATATATAAATGTAAATATACAAACCAAAAAAATAAAGCTATAGTCCAATATGTTAACAGTAGTCATCTCTGTGTGATAGAACTATGAGTGATTTTGTTTTACAAATTTACATTTTTCTGTATTTTCTAAATTTTCTATAGGAAAAAATATATGGAATAACCAAAATTATTTTTTTAAATAAGAATTTGAATTAGGCATTATTTTGAAGTGGTTCAGTTTAAGTGCCTGCTCTCACATGTTACTATGTAGATTTTTCCAATTCTGTAAAACAGGTGTTGCTCTCATAATACAATTCAATTTTTGACCAGATTAGGTCTGTGATCATATTACATTTTTATTAATAAAACACCCTGGAAAAGGATTTATGAACAATTTAAAAATATTACCTACAACTATATGTCATTCTTATGCAAGAGTATTTTATTTCCTCATGTTCCCTTATAAAACCATTTATATACATTCAGAGTTTTTATACTATTGTAATCTGTGCATATACCATTGTAAGTTCTTTTTTTCCATTTTTTAGCATTATTTTGTAAATACTTTTCAGTGATTTTATACAGTTATTTTTGGTGACTATATTATACTCCATCGATATATAAAATGAATATATAAAAATATACTATCGTAGTACTGTTGGACATTTCAATTACGTAAATTAGTCTTGGTTTTTCCTCATCATTGATGCTTTTAATGATCTTAACACCTTTTCTGTTTTCCTTTCTTTCTTTTTTGCTTTTCTGAATTATTTCTAATGGATAAATTCCCAGGAGTCAGATCAAAGGGTCATGGGATATATGAACATTTTCATACTGACCTAAAAACAGAATCTAAATTGTCAAATTCATGAAACGGCAGATTTTAACCAAACATTAACTACATGGAACCTGGTTGCCATTCGACAGCTGTACTGCTGGATTTATAAACTGCATTTGGAAAAGCGCCTGGGTTCCGAGAGAGAGCTTTCAGGGCTCACTAAAATAGCCTGTTGGAAAGGTCCGTATAGTTAACGTGTGGACCTCTCTGTCTCCAGGCTTTTGACCTCTACTCTGAGGAGGTAGAGCTCCAGCCTCATCAACAGCATTTGGGAAAAACTATAAAAACTTGCAATTCTCCAGAGCTGAGTCCTGAAAAAACTGGTATTGGTCCCTCCCCTCAACTTGCACTCTTTAGGCCAAGTCTTCTTCTAAACCCCCAACCAATTGCAACAAATGGATTTAGATGATGGGATTATTTAATAAAGCACTTAGTTTCATCTGTTCATGAACAGCTTTAAGAAAAGATGATCTTCTCTTGCCACTTCTATTCAATATTGTACTAGAGATACTAGCCAGGGCAATTAATCCAGAAAAAGAAATAAAAATCATCCAGAAAAGAAGTGAAACTATTTGCAGATGACATGATCTTGTACATAGAAAATCCTAAGGGATCCACTAAAAACTATTAGAACTAATAAACGAATCCAATAAAGTTGCAGGGTACAGGATCAATATACAAAAATCTAGCAATGACCAATCTGAAAATGCAACTAAGAAACAATTTCATTTATAATTGCATAAAAAGAATTAGAAAATTAGCAATACATTTTTTAAAAGTATAAAAGTTTCGATCTGAAAATTACAATATTGTTCAAAGAAATTAAAGAAGACCTAACTAAATGGAAAGAAATCTCTAATTCATGGCTTATAAGAGTTAATGTTGTTAGAAGGGCAGTACTCTCCAAAAATGATCTATAGATTCAATGCAATTCTACCAAAATTCTAGCTGGTATCTTTGCAGAAATTGACAAGAAGATCCTAAAATTCAAATGGAAATGCTAGGGACCCAAAATAGTCAAAACAGTCTTGAAAAAGAGGAACAAAGATGAAGGACACCAACTTCCAATTTCAAAACAGCAATCAAGACTGTGTGGTACCAGCATAAGAAGAGACATAAAGATTAATGGATTAGAATTGGAGTCCAGAAATAACCTCTCAAATTTATTCTCAACTGATTTTCATCAAGGATGCCACTATAAATCAATGGGGAAAAAAGTCTTTTCAACAAACACTGTTGGGACAACTGAATATCCAGATGCAAAAGAATGAAGTTGGACCTCTACTTCATATCCTATATAAAAATTAACTCAATAGGGATCATAGAACTAAATGTAAGAGCTAAAAGTATAAAACTCTTAAAAGAAAACATAGGTATAAATCTTCATGACTTCGCATTAGGCAATGATTTCTTAGATACAAAACCAAGAGCACAGCCAACAAAAGGAAAAATACATAAATTAGACTTCATTAAAATTAAAAACCTTTGTGCTTCAAAGAACATCATCAACAAAGTGAAAAGACAATCTGTGGGATGGGAGAAAATTTATGCAAGTCATATATCTGATAAGGAACTTGTATCTAGAATAGCTAAAGAACTCTTATAGCTCAACAATTAAAAAAAACTTAAAAATGGGCACAGGATCTGAATACACATTTTTCCAAAGAAATATACAAATGGCCAAAAGCACGTGTAAAAAATGCTCAACATTCTTAGTCATTAGGGAAATGCAAATTAAAACCACAATGAGATACCATTTCACACTTAATGAAAAAGACAGATACAGGCATACCTCAGAGATCTTGTGGGTTTGGTTCCAGACCACCGCAATAAAGTGAATATGGCAATCCACTGAGTCATACAAATGTTTTGGTTTCCGAGTGCACATAAAAGTTATCTTTATATTATACTGTAGTCTATTAAGTGTGCAATAGCATTATGTCTAAAAAAACAATGTACATACCTTAATTTAAAAATATTTTATTTCCAGAAAATGCTAATGATCATCTGAGCCTTGAGCAAGTTGTTATCTTTTTGCCGGTGGAGGGTCTTGCCTGGATGTTCACAGCTGCTGACTGATCAGCAGAGTGGTGGTTGGTGAAGTATGAGGTGGCTGTGGCAAGTTCTTAAAATAAGTCAACAATGAAGTTTGCTGCATTGATGGACTCTCCCTTTCACAAAGACTTCTCCATAGCATGTGATGCTGTTTGATAGCATTTTACTCACAGTAGAACTTTAGAAATTAGAGTCCATCCTCCCAAACCCTACCACTGCTTCATCAACTAAGCTTATGTCATATCCTAAATTCTTTGTTGTCATTTCAACGATGTCCACAGCATTTTCACCAGGAGTAGATTCCATCTCAAGAAACTACTTTCTTTGCTCATTCATGCAACTGCTCATCTGTTACAAAGTTTTCTCATGACATTGCGGCAATTCAGTCACATCTTCAGGCTCCACTTCTAATTCTACTTCTCTTGCCATTTCTACCACAGCTACATTTCCCTCCCCAACTGAATTCTTCACCCCTCAAAGTCATCCATGAGGGTTGGAATCAACTTCTTCCAAACTCCTGTTAATGTTGATATTTTGACCTCCCCCGCCCATGAATCACAAACGCTCCTTATGACATTTAGAATCCTTTTCAGAAGGTTTTCAATTCAGTTTGCCCGAATACAACAGAGCAATCACTATCTATAGCATCTATACCCTTATGAAATATTAATATATTTCTTAAATAAGACTTGAACATTGAAATTACTCCTTGTACGGGCTGCAAAATGGGTGTTGTGTTAGCGGGCATGAAAACGACATTCCTCTCCTTGGGCATCTCCATCGGAGCTCTTGGGTGACCAGGTGCATTGTCAGTGAGCAGTAATATTTTCAAAGGAATCTTTTTTTCTGAGAAGTTGGTCTCAACAGTGGCCTTGAAATATTCAGTAAACCATGCTGTAAACAGATATGCTGTCATCCAGGCTTTGTTGTTTCATTTATAGAGCAAACGCAGAATAGATTTAGCATAATTCTTAAGGACACTAAGATTTTCAGAATGGCAAATGAGCACTGACTTCAACTTAAAGTCACCAGCTACATTAGCCCCTAAAGAGAAGCTTTGGAGCCAGGCATTGACTTATCCTCTCCAGCTATCAAAGGCCTAGATGGCATCTTCTTCCAATAGAAGGCTGTTTTGTTTACATGGAAAAAATTGTTTAGTGTAGCCACCTTCATCATTGATCTTAGCTAGATCTTCTGGATAACTTGTTGCAGCTTCTAATAGGCACTTGCTTACCCTTTTATGTTCTGGAGATGGCTTCTTTCCTTAAACCTCATGAACCCACCTCTGCTAGCTTCAAACTTTTCCTCTGCAGCTTCCTCACCTCTCAGCCTTTAAAGCATTGAAGAGAGTTAGGGCTTGCTCTGGATTAGACTTTGGCTTAAGGGAATGTTGCGGTTGGTTTGATCTATCAGACCACTAAAACTTTCTCCATATCAGCAATAAGGTTGTTTCACTTTCTTATCATTCCTGTGTTCACTGGAGTTGCACTTTTAATTTCCTTCAAGGACTTTTCCTTTGCAGTCACAAGCTGGCTAACTGTTTGGCACAAGAAGCCTAGCTTTAGGCCTATCTCAGCTTTTAACATGCCTTCCTCACTAAGTTAATCATTTCTAGCTTTTGATTTAAAGTGAGAGATGTACCACTCTCTTCATTTGAACACTTAGAGGCCATTGTAGGGTTATTAATTGGCTTAAAATTTCAATATTGTTGTGTTTCAGGGAATAGGGAGGCCCAAGGAGAGGGAGAGAGGCTGAGGAATGGCTTGTTGGTGTAGTCAGAACACACACAACATTTATCACCTAAGTTTGCCTTCTTGCACGGGCTTGTTTCCCGGCACCCCGAAACCTTTCCAATAACATCAAACATCACTGATCACAGATCATCACAACAGATATAGTAATAATGAAAACGTTTTAAATATATCAAGAATTACCAAAATGTGACACAGAAATGGAAAATGAGCACATGGTGGAAAAATGGCAGCAACAGACTTGCTCAACACAGGATTGCCACAAGTAAAAAACACAGTATCTGAGAAGCACAATAAAACAAAGTATACCTGTAATAAGTGTCGGCAAGAATGTGGAGAAACGGTAACCCTCATATATGGCTGGTAGGATTATAAAATGGCACAACCAATTTGTAAAACAGTGTGGCAGTTTTAAAAGATTAAAGAGAGTTACCGTATGACCTAGAAACTCCTCTCCAAGGTATATACCCGAGAGAAATAAATGTCCACACAAAAACTTGTACATGAATGTTCATAGCGGTATTATTCAAAATAGCCAAGAAGTGGAAACAACCCAGATGTCCATCAACTGATGAATAAATAAAATGTGGTACAGTCATACAGTGGAATATTATTTAGCAATAAAAAGAAACAAAGTACTGATACATGTTATAACATTGATGAAATTTGAAAACATGCTCAGTGAAAGAAGCCAAACACAAAGGACCACGTATTATATGATTCCACTTTTATAAAATGTGTACGCTAGGCAAATCTATAGAGACAGAAGGAAGATTAGTAGTTGCCTAGGGCTGGGAGGATTGGGGAGAAATGAGTAGTGACTACTAATATGAATAAGGTTTCTTTGGGGGTGATGAAAATGTTCTAAAATCGATCAATGAGATGATTGCACAACTCTGGATATACTAAAAACCACTGAATCATATACTTTACAGAGTTAATTTTTTGGCATATAAATTAAATCTTGATATACATTTAAAAAAAAACAGATGAAAAATTCCTGATAAGTAAAAATGAAAAAAAGAAAAATCCACTCATAATCCCATCACTACTCAGAGATAATTATTATTAAAACTGATAATATAAAAACTTCCAGATACTTTGAGTTTTGTGTATACATAGATAATCCCATGTATAATCTAATAATGTTTTTCATTTATCATGAATTTTATCAATAAACATTTATCCACAATATTTATTAAAACCTGAAGCCTGAAATGCTTCAATTGGCGTTTATTTAAAAAAAATGACTCAATTCCCTATTTCAAAGTCTGAGCAGCTTATTATTAATACATTTCAAATGTTTACCCCCTCCCAAAATTATATGCAAAGACTCATCCAGCAAGTTCTTTGGACATTTGGTAAAACTTTATTTGTCTGTCTATAATTTAATATTATATCTTAATAGACTCTTCACAAAAATACTATAGTTGACTCTCAACTCAGGTTTGAACTGCGAGGGTCTACTCCTGTTTCTGCCACCCTTGAGGCAGCAAAAGCAATCCCTCCTTCTCCCCCTCTTCCTCAGCCTACTCAACATGAAGACAAGGTAGATAAAGACCTTTATGATGATCTACTTCCACTTATTATACTTTCTCTTCCTTACGACTTTCTTAATATTTTCTTTTCTCTAGTTTACTTTATTATAAGAATACAAAATATGTTAATTGCCTTCTATCTTATTGATGAGGCTCTGGTCAGCAGTAGGTTATTAATATTAATAGTTGAGTTCTGGGGGAGTCAAAAGTTATATGTGGGTTTTCAGCACCCCTAACTCCTGTGTCATTCAACGGTCAACTGTATTTCCTTTTTTGATTCAAAAATTAACAAATTTGGGAGCTCCCACACCTACAAAACACAAAAAGGCTAGTTTAAAAGTAAATTATTCTGTCTAGGTGCAGTGGCTCATGCTTGTAATCCCAGCACTCTGGGAGGCAGAGGTGGGCGGATTGCTTGAGGCCAGGAGTGCAAGACCAGCCTGAACAAGAGCAAGACCCCATCTCTACAAAATGCAGAACAATTAGCTGGGCCAGCTGTGGTGGCGTGTGCCTGTAGTCCCTGCTACTCCATTCAGGAGGCTGAGGCAGGAGGATTGTTTGAGCCCAGGAGTTTGAGATTGCAGGGAGCTATAAGCAACGCCATTGCACTCTAGCCCGGGCAACAGAGTGAGACTCTGTCTCAAAAACAAAAAGAGTAAACTATTCATAATAAGCTAATTTTCTACAAAGTTATACACAAATAAAAACAGTAAAGGAAGGTCAGAGAAAAATAAGGAAGGTCAAAACTAACTTTTAAGGATAGTAACCAGAAATCCTAAAACATGTAGACATTAGTATGAGAGTAAGTGTTTGTATTACATAAAAACCAATTTTTAATTCTGTATCTACTTTTGAAGCCTGGTCATGCTTACAACAGGTCACACTGCAACCCAAACCAACCACCCCTCATATCTGAATGAGCTTATTCAAACTTAGTTTGAGCAGCTATGAAGTACAAAAGAGAGATGACCCACCTGCATGTAACAGTTCCCTTTTACATGCAACAACAGAAAGGGCTACAGAGAATTAACCTTGTTCCTGCCAAAACTGCTTTTAGCATCATTACATAATAAACTACAGAACACTTTACTTTTAAAAATGTGTCTAAACAAAACAAAATGAAACTAGAAAACGTCAGGGAATGAGTTAAATGATGTAAGCTTTTTAAAAAAAAACTTTCTCAAATAATAAACACTTGCGTCAACACAGTGGTTACCTTTGGGGGGCAGGAAGGAGATGTGCATGGGAGGGGTTGAGGGGAAGTCCTGGTTTTCTCTCTGGTCGTGGGTCAATGGTGCTCATTTTATTCTTCTTCTAACCATGCATAGACATGATAATTCTTTGACACATGGAGTATTTCACAAGAATCATACTGAAAACAAAAGCCTCCCTTGACCATTGGTCTTCCCTCTAACCATCACCCAATCTCTCTCCTCTTCAGTGAAACATCTAGAGAGTTCCCTTTCCAGGTCTACACTCCGCCCCTTCCCATTCACTCTGCTGTAGCATAAATTCTCAGTTACATAAAATCCCACCTGGGTCCAGCCTCATCTGACTTCTTCCCCTCCCCCATCCTCCCCATTTGTACTTGACCCTCAACACCCCCCCTCCCTGCCCCCCCCCAGAGCTCTGCATCCTCTGGATCCCCCTAGTTTTTGCACAAGCCCCATGCTCCCCTCTTTTGCCTGATAAGCTCTTACTCATCTTTCAAGGGGTCTTCCTAGGTGACTAGGACTTCCATGATGTTACAAACTTGTTTCTATTGGAACACATATCACACTGCTAAAACTATGTTTACATGTTTTATGGACTGAATTGTGCCTCCCAAATCCACATGTTGAAACCCTAAGCCCTCATATGACTGTTTTTGGAGATACAGACTTTAAGGACCTAATTAAGATTAAAAGAGGTCAAAAGGGTGGGGCATTAATCCAATAAGATTGGTATCCTTATAAGAAGAGGATGAGTGGAAAGGGTATTTAATTGGTACACAAAGAAACCTGGGTTTTTTTCATCCTAGCTCTTCATGAAATACTTTTATTATTGAACAAATTCTTTAACCTCTCCTGAACTCAGTTTCCTCATCTTTAAAAGAAAAGATTGGACTAAATGTCTGCGGGTCAGATTTAAGCTTCTTGACGTCAAGGTTCAGTGGTGGTCTACAGTTACTCCAAGTTTGCTACTGTCATGGCTTGCCCAGTGTTTCCAGTGTCCTTATATCTTCTGAGATGATTTTACACTTTAGGTATAAAATACAACCATGGGTTCCAAAATAGCACCCTCATGAAATGGTGGTTGGAAAGTAAATTGGTGCAATCCTGTAGCTTTATTTAATGGTACTATACTTGTAGAAATTCCACACTAGGAATTTATTTGAAGGAAATAAGCAAAGATGCAGCCAAATGTTTATTTACAAGGACAGTCATAGTAGTGTTTATTATAGCAAAGAATGGTTAACAATGTCAGTGGCTAACAATAGGAGGATGTTTAAATTAATAATTATGGAACCTTGATGAATTTAAATATCATTTTTCAGATTCCTTAATGACTTGCGAACATGCTCAACTTTGCAAATACAAATGCAACAAGGAGAAAAAAGATAAAGGAAAGAAAGAATAAAACGTGAAAAATGAAATGGATTTCTAGGTCTTCATGTGGAAAAATATCCCAGATATAAAGTAAAAACACACTGGTGCAAAGCATGTGTATATTATATACACGGTTACTTATTACATAAAAAAAGGCATATACGTGCTTGTACATAAGTAAACACTTCTAGAAGGATACACATTGTTCCACTAGTAAGAATGGGACTGAGGCAAGAAAAAGACTTTGCTTTTTATTTTAGGCAATTCTAACCTGTTTCCAATACTTAAAAAAAAAAAAAAAAAAAAAACTTGTGTAGGCATTATTTCCATGTAAACAGATTTCAAAAGGAGTTTCCAATGGGTTCTGTTTTGGAAAGTAAAGGTCAACACTTCTGAGAAAAGAAATTTATCCTGCTGTTGACTTTTTTAAAGCAGCGTTCTTAAAATAGAATGTACATACCACAGATTCACCCATTGTAAAGTGTACAAATTGCCGACTGGATTTTATCCTGAGTTACAAGCATTTATTTGGCATGAGAAATAAACAATCTTTTATGTAACCACGCATAAGAAAAGCCTTCGTGTTTCAGAAAGCTCTGGGGATATCAAAATCTAAGCCAATTTTGTGACTGCAACAAGGGTAAATAATACTCGGCATTCAGATTACGGGGAAAGGTCAGAACTACAAGATCCCACAGAGCGCAACAACTACAGAAAGTAAGGGGAAAAGGGCAAACCCTAGCAGGGCGTACGCCAGTTTTCTCTGCGCAAGGGCACGTGGAGCATAAGCCACAGCCCGGCTCCATGGACCCTCAAGAGCAGCTGCGACCGGGGACAGACTCGCCGCGCAAACAAAGCCAAGTGGTTTCCTTTCATATTTAAACTTCGAGCGTGTCCCTTCCCCCCATAACCTGCTCGAAGCTGCCCACGGAGACCAGAGGGTTCGGGGCTCAGTCTCTCCCCCGGGCGGCGGGAGGGAAATGGTGCGGCCGCATTCGGGACCCGCTTCCCCCACCTTGGCCCCTCCGCCCGCAAACCCCCCGGGCGACCGCGCGCAGCCAGCCCTCCGCCCAGGGCTCCCACCTGTGCCCCGCAGCATGTTGTCTCGGAGCAGGTCCCCGCTGGAGAGGTGCTTCAGCTCGAAGTGTTGGGTGATGCGCGACGACACAGTGCCCTTGCCCGAGCCCGGGGCCCCCATGATGATTGCGCGCAGGAGCCGCGCGGACGCCCCCATGGCCGCAGACGGGCCCACGCCGCGCCGATAGTGCAGCTTTGGCCTGGCCTGCGCGCTCACCCGCTCCGCAGCCCCGGGCCGGCGGGCTGGCAGCGCTGCTAGCAGGCTGCGGCCGCAGTGTCCAGGCGTTCCCGGAAGTGAGGCGACAGCCACTGGGTCTGCTCCGCCCGCGCCCAGCCCCGCTGCTGCGCCCGCCCGCGGCGACCCCGGCGCGCCCCCTCGTCGGCGCCCCGCCAGCCCAGCCCAGCCCGCGCAAGCCGCGCCTCCCCCGCGCTCCCGCGGCGACCCTGCGAGCCCTCGGCGGCGCAGCGTCCACCTGCGCCCCTCCGCGCCTCCTTCCCACTCGCCCGCGCCGCTCTGCTGCCTTCGGCTTCCCCTCTGCACCCGCTTTGCTCCCCTTCGCCGCCAGGGATTCCCCGAGACCTCTTCGGTGACCCCTGCATGCCCTTCACTCGCTTCAGATCCATCCCGCGTCCTGTCCTGCCCAGTCTCAGCCGGATAGACCGCGCTCCTCTCGGTTCACCCTTGGCAACTCCTGCGCGTCCCCTCCCTACCTCTAGTCGCCCCTTGGTTACCGGACTCCCCCGGCGTCCCCCAACACTCTTTTCGTACCCTTCGCTCGCTCCTATTCCATGCCAGGCCCTGTCCTACCCGGTTCCAACCAGATACACCGTGGTCCTTTCCGTGCCCCCTTCCGAACCCCGGCGCCCCCTTGCGTCCCCTTTCCCCTCTGCTCCCCTGGGACACCAGACCCTCCCCCTCAAGCACTTCCTTCCTCTCCCTCCTTCCTCCTGCTCCGCTGCTGAGCGCGCTCTCTTCCGCCTCCACCTCTGTAGAACCTCAGATAATGACAGTGAGCCGAGGGGCCCTCCCTGCCCTTTTCAATGGAGAGGAAACCCAGTTTTCATTAAGTGAGGCGCATTAAGGCACACATCTGGTGAGAGGTGTCTCTTACCTCCCAGGATCACACTTCCAGACTCAAAAGTAGCTGCTACTTTTACTCTGCAGAGCCCCAAAGTACTGGCTCCTCAGATCTCACGATTCACCTTCAGAAATGCATTCACTCCATAAATACTTATTCAGTGCCTACTGTGTGCCAGATGTTGTTCCTAGGGGGCTCTGAGGATACTTGAAGTTTCAAGTCTACTGGTGGAGGTAGATCATAACAAGGAAACAAATAAATGAGCAAGATAATTTGAGATAATGCTATGCATAAAATAAAATAGAATGTGTGAAAGTGTAGAGGGAGGCTATTGTAGATCAGGTGGTCAGTATAGCTTTGCAGAGATGGCATTTGCTCGGAGCACTGAGTTAGAATATGGAGGGAGAGAGACACAGGCAAGAGGGTAGGAAGGCCCTGAAACGGCATGTCCAGCATGTTCCAGAATAGAAACAGAAGACAAACATTTAAGTACCATTTTATCTGTAAAACGAATGTAGGAGATTGGTAGGGAGAGGTTAAAATAATGTATGTAAAATACTTAGTGCAATGTCAGCTACAGGGTAAGTGTTCAATGAAGTCCATTAATTAACATTGCTTTGTGCTGGGACACTATGCTAAGGCAGAAAGAAAACTCTGTGAAAATAAACACGGTGCCATCCTCCTCAGAGGTTGCCAAATGAGTGGTCCAAAACTGATTTAAAAGAAGATAGAAATTATTATAGGGAGGGATGGTAAGGGAAGGTTTGCTCAGTAAGCAGATCTGAGCTTGGTGAATGGGGGATTTTAATAGATAGACAACCCTGTATTTAGAAAGAAAATGCATGGCCAGGTGTGGTGGCTCATGCCTCTAATCCCAGCACTTTGGGAGGCCAGGAGTTTGAGATCAGACTGGGGCAACCTAGCAAGACCCTCCTCTACAAAAAAAAAAGTGCATGGTTCATATATATTCATTACTAAGCAAGAAAGAATGAAAATAAATGAATTAAGCATTCAGTCTATGTAGTTAGAAAAAGGACATCAAAATAAGGAAAGCAGAGGAAGGGATTAAGTAAACAGTATATATGAAAGGATGAGAAAAACAGCACTAACAAAAGAATGAAAAAGTCTAGACAAGTACAAGTTATGCAATACTAGAAAACCTGAAAGTGTGGAAAAAGTACTACTGATCTCCAAAGCTGGGAACATTTGAGGTTGCGGCTCCAAAAGAGATTTGAAAGAAAATCCTGGGGAAATTTGGCTTAGGAAAAAAAAAATGTTGAAACAAACAAACAAAAGTGGCTGAGGCATCATCCTGTCATTACAGAGGGAAAAGCTGAGTGCCAAGCTCATATTAACCGGCCCACAAAACGCCAGCTAACTTTGGCTTAGCAAAAGGTTGTTGATTACACATGAGTGAGTGCCGATCTGGGAAATCTCCTGGCAACGGTGCCAGGCATAGTCATTTCGCCATACACAGGCATGTGTACGGGTCTGTTCTTCAGTGCTTAACGTGCTCTAAAAAAGGAAAGGCCTTGAGCTCAAATTAATACAAACCCTAATTTAATGACCAAGTGTTTATACAAATTAGTTTGAATCAAATAAAGCCCAAAGGAGTGTTTTGCACATAGTAGACATTCTATAAATGTTTGTTCATTAAATACTAAGAATTACTGTGTTGTTGCACTGAAGATTGGAATATTTAAGGGCTCTAAAATGTACAACTGAGGGGAAAGCTATAGGCAAGTGTAATGGATTGAATTGTATTCCCCCAAAAGATGTGTTGAAGTCCTAATCCCAGTATCTCAGAACATGGCTTTATTTGGAAATAGGGTCTTTGCAGACATAATTAGTTAAAACGAGGTCACACTGGAGAACAGTCAGCCCTTAATCCAATATGATGCGAAGGCACAGGAGGAGGATGCCGTGTACTACCAGAAGCAGAGAGTGAAGTTATACAGCTACAAGCCAAGAAACACCAAAGATTGCCAGTGACACCAGAAGCCAAAAGAAAGACACCAAATTGACTCTCCCCTAGACCCCCTGAGAGAGCATAACCCTGCCAACACCTTGATTTTAAACCTGTAGCCTCCAAAACTTCCAGAGAATAACTTTCTGTTGTTGGAAGCCCCACAGTTTGTGCTAATTTGTTACAGTAGTCCTCGGAAACTAATACAGTGTGTTTCTAGAAAGCGTGTGTATGTGCGTGTATGTTGGTTCACTCAGAGGTAGATGGAAACCAGAGAATAGAAGGATTCAGTGTTTGAAAAGTTCTGACTAGGACTGTAGTGGAGTAAAGAGAAAAAAGATGCATCAGATATCTACTTCTATAAAAAGCCACTTTAAACTTTATTGGCTTCATACATGATTTATTACTTATTACAACTGTGTAGTTCTCCTGTTGGTCTCTCTTGGGCTCACTCATGTGTCTACATCTGCAGCTCATATGGAATGGCTGGAACAGTGTGGACAGTCTCTTCACGTGGCCTTTTGTCTGTGGCTTCTTCAGATGCTGGTGGTCTCAGGATTCCCAGATGGCGGGCATCAGCGTGCAAGTATTGTACTTCCCAAACCTCTTCTTGCCTCACACTTTCTGACAAAGCAAGTCACATGGCCAAACCCCAAGTCAGTGTGTGAGGGGACTACACAAGGGCGTGGATGCTGGGAGGTACGATTCATTAGGAACCATTATTATAACAACCTACCACAGAAGGGCTCAGTATTAGTTATCTATCTATTGCTGATTAGTTATCTCTCTAAACCACCCCAAAATTTAGCAGCTTAAAATAACAATATGTATTATCTCACATTGTCTGTGGGTCAGGAATCTGGGCCCAGCTTAGCTAGGTACCTCTGGCTCAGAGTCTCACACAAAGCTACAGTCAAGGTGTTGGCTGGGGCTACACTTGCCTCAAGTCACAACTTGGGGAGGAGTCACTTCCAAGCTCACTCAGGCCGGGTATTTTGGCTCACATTTGTAATCCCAGCACTTTGGGAGGCTGAGGCTGGAGGATCACTTGAGACCAGGAGTTTGAGAGCAGCGTGGGCAACATAGCAAGACCCTGTCTCTACAAAAAACTAAAAAAACTAGCCAGATATGGTGGTGTGTGTGTGCCTGTAGTTCTAGCTTCTCGGGAGGCTGAGCCAGCAAGACCTCTTGAGCCTGGGAGTTGGAGGTTGCAGTGAGCTATGATCGTGCCACTGCACTCCAGCCTGGGAGACAGAGCAAGACTGTCTCTAAAACAAAACAAAACAAAAAACAACCAAGCTCATTCATGTGACTGTTGGCAGGTCTCTGGCCTCCTATAACTATTGGCTGAAAGCATCAGTTCCAATACTGAACAAAATAGATGAAATCTTTGCTCTCATGGAACAAACATTCCAATGAGGAGAGAGAAAAGATGCAAACACATAAAATAAAACATATATAAAAATGGCAGGAGTTTATAGGTGCCACACAGAGAAATATAGCAGGGCGAGGGTAAGGCTGTCACTACCTTACACAGGGTAAAGGAATAGAGAGGATGACAATTTGAGACCTAAAGGAAATCTCAGAGCAAGCCATTTAGGCATCTGGGGAGAAGACTGTCTAGAGAGAGAAAGAAGAGCAAGTGCAAAAGCCCTGAAGGAGGAGTGTGCTTGGGTTTTCAAAGAACAGTAAAGAAGCCAGTGTGCCTGCAACAGAAAGAGCAAGAAGGAGAATGACAAGAAAGCTCAGGAAGGTGGTGAGGGTGAGGATCTCGTAGGGCCTAACAAGCCATCGTGGCAAATGGTTTTGTCCAAAGGTGGCCACAACGCCACCTCCCAGTCCATGTGCTCTTTTTACATGTGACTTTGACACTTCTCCAGTCAAGAGGTGGGGTCTGTGTCCCCTCCACCTTTAAACTGAGTGAGCTTTTGTGATTGTTTTAACCAATCGATTATGGTAGAAGTGATGCTATGTGACTTCCGAGGCTAGATCATAAAAGACAATGCAACTTCTGATTTGTTCACTAGAACAGCTATTCTGAAAGCCTGCAGCTGCCACATGGGAAATTTGACTGCCTGAAGGCCACCATGCTATAAGGAAGCTCAAATTAGTCCTCGTGGACAAACCACTTAGGAGGGCCCTGAGATGACATGGAGAGAGCAGTACTGTATCCCCTCAGTGTTCCAACTGAAGCCATCTGATTGCACCTGCATGAGACACCTAACACCAAAACCATCCACCTGAGCCCTTCCCAAATTCCTGAACCATGAGAGAAAATAAAATGATTGTTGTGGTTTTAAGCAATAAAGCAAGCAAAAGACAGTG